TAAATTCTTAGCAAGTCGACGTTAACAGAACTCATTGTATGAATTCTAAGGAAGTCGCCGTTAACAGAACTCATTCTATGAATTTTAAGCAAGTCGACGTTAACGGAACGCCCTGTATAAATTCTTAGCAAGTCCACGTTAACAGAACTCATTGTATGAATTCTAAGGAAGTTGACGTTAACAGAACGCCCTGTATAAATATTTAGCAAGTCGCCGTTAACAGAACTCATTGTATGAATTCTAAGCAAGTCGACGTTAACGGAACGCCCTGTATAAATTCTTAGCAAGTCGCCGTTAACAGAACTCATTGTATGAATTCTAAGCAAGTCGACGTTAACAGAACTCATTGTATGAATTTTAAGCAAGTCGACGTTAACAGAACGCTCCGGATGAATTTTAAGCAAGTCGACGTTAACAGAACGCCCTGTATGAATTCTAAGCAAGTCGACGTTAACGGAACGCCCTGTATGAATTCTAAGCAAGTCGACGTTAACGGAACGCCCTGTATGAATTCTAAGCAAGTCGACGTTAACGGAACGCCCCGTATGAATTCTAAGCCAGTCGACGTTAACAGAAAGCCCAGTATGAATTCTAAACAAGTCGTCGTTAACAGAACGCCCTGTATGAATTCTAAGCAAGTCCACGTTAACGGAACGCCCCGTATGAATTTTAAGCAAGTCGACGTTAACAGAAAGCCCTGTATGAATTCTAACGTAGACGTTAACGGCTCCATGTCATAGTGAGTCGACGGACTTTGCTATCGACCTTAAATAATGCGACAAGACCTTTTCTATATCCAATAGACATCTCTGCATAAAGCAGAGTCGATAGTACGATTCCGACTATATCATGAGCATGTGTTTATGAATCACTATCAAATAGTAATAATACCAGGGGTTCGTGAAAAGGGGAGAGTATCCTGCCCCACCGGAGGCACCCATCACAAACTCATGTAAAGGCAAGTCAATTATTCACCTGAAAAAAACACGGTAACATATGGTACAAGTCATAATAGAGAAATGCATCGGACATCACTTTTGTCACCGATGCGTCAAAGCACACCCGAGGATATACACCCATAAGCTTTGCCAAAGCTTTTACTATTCACATTTTTTATAGGTCTTTGATAATTGTGACAGAAACTTACAATATACAGAGGTATGTATTTATAAAGCACAAATTACAATATCTTTCAAACATACAATTGAAGCATAAGGTACGATAAGGGCCATTTGTGGACCACAGGATCTACATGAACAAACTTTGGGAAATCATTATGCAGTTATCAGATCTGCCGTATGAATGGGAATTCGACTTACACAACACTAAAAGTACAGTGAGGCTAAATCCCCCCCCCCCCCCCCCCCCCCTACGGATCCGCCTATGCCGTTTGAACGTGGTCATTTCAGGAAATTGGTGACAAGTGAGACACGTGTCATGTTAGATAAGATGTCACGTTTTGCAAATGTAGTACACAATTTGACATTCACACAACCCGGCCACCATCACTATAGCAACCAACAGCGTTCTGATTGAAAGATAACTCCGGGAACTTACTCGACCCCTTTTCAAAAGTACGGAATGATCAATATATCAATACACGTAATCCATGCTATTTTATACAACAAAAATAATGGGACTAAAAAGAATAATTTAGTTAAAATAGTTTAGTTGGAAGAATACATTTGTGTGCAACTTGAAAGGAACTCGCTGGCACAGTCATCTGAGTTTGGATCGCTATAAAAGATAATGTTTAGATCAAATTTAAAGCCAAATTTGTAAAAATTCGTGTACTAGTAATCTAGAGGTCTGTTGAAATTACGAAAAATGAGAAAATAATGTGAAACACTTTCAGAGTATGACCTACAATTACAGATATGATTTTTTAAAGAATTGCCTTGTGTAAATCGACTTTAAGAATACCGTATGCACACCAGAGTTCTGACTGTAAAATACATTATTTTGCCATCTTATTTCTTGTCAGATAAAAACAACGCACTTTGTTTTCTTTCTGAATTGTTGTCTGTTTAAATGCTTGTAATAACTTTCTCCTTTCACAACTGAATTGGCCCGTGAAGGTCTGTGGTAGAATAGTTCTTCAGCAACCCATGCTTGCCGTAAAAGGCGGCTTTGCTTGTCGTTAGAGGCGACTAACGGGATCGGGTGGTCTGGCTCGCTGACTTGGTTGATGCATGTCATCATATCCCGATTGCGTGGATCGATGCGCATGATATCAGTCACTGGATTGTCTGGTCCAGACTTGATTATTTACAGACCGTCGTCATATAGCTGGAATATTGCTGAGTGCGGCGTTAAACAACAAACAAACAAACAAACACTACTGAGTGCTGTTGATTCCACATGTAGCCGCTATCCTGAGTGAAGCATTTCTGCATGGTACTTGTTCCTTTTCTGGGGGTTGAATAATCAACTTTCTTTCGAATATTATTTCTGCTCGGATTAGCAATTCAAGACAAGGCAATTTGGCCAAGAAGTTTACCTTAAACTTCAGGTATATCGATGATCTTATATAGTTCAATAGTCAATGGTCACTAAGATGGTGAGACACGTGTCATGTTAGATGCCACTCTAAGTGCCACTCAAAGAAGTCAATGGTCAAATAGCCAATTCCCTTCCACTGATTTACCCACTTAACTAGAAATAAAAGAGACCGCTGTGACCGCCTCGTCTGTTTCATATTAAGATCTATACATAAAGACTCAGAATAACAAGCACGCACGCACGCACGCACGCACACACACACACACACACGCACACATACAATCGAGAATGCTCTTTCTTCGAAGATTTAATACAACATCATACGACTCTTGCTCAAAAGTTGTTTGATCAAGGTTACAACTTTCAAGGCCCCAGAAAAGCTCTCAAAATGTTTAATGGTAGACTTGTTGAGGACATTTCCAAATTTTACGCAATTGTTACATAAATGATGTCTGATGCAATGCCCTATTTTCACCTTACCATATGTTCCAGTGTTGTTTTTTTCAGGTGAACACATGACTGGCCTCTGCATGTGTTTTTGACCAGTTGGGCAGGATACGATCAGCTTTTCGCGAACACCTGGTATCATCACTGTTTGATGGTGAATCATAAGCACATGATTATGACATAGTCGGAATAGTACCATCCGCTTTTAACAGATAATTATTATTAACATGGAAAGGGTTTTGTCGCTAGTAGTATAGTCTAAGTCCGCAGAAGGCCATTTTGTTTGAGGGAGGTTGAGGGAAAATAGGGAAGGTGATTGGCTGATCCAAGTCACGTGATCGGATAGGATGACTCATGCATCAACAACGCGTCGGGAAAGGGGGGGGGAGGGGGGGGGGGGGGGGATGAAAGGTGTGTGTTTATAAGGCAGAAAAGAATTCATAAGAAAACAAAAGTAAAGGGTTATGAATAGAGCTATGTGTATAGCGTGCTGCCCTAAATAGACACACCGTACCCGTCAGCCCAGTTTGAATTGAGCGCGCTTGACAACTCACCTGTCCGGACTGTGAAAAAATGTTTTCAAGGAGAGATATCATGTTACGACACAGGAGAAATAAACATAGCATACCGCCGCCGTTACAAGCCCACCCGCTAACGCCGCCGCCGCCGCCGCAAGTCGACCCGCTGTTACAAGCCCATCCGCCGCCGCCGCTGGCCAGTGGACTTGCGGCGGCGGGTGGGCTTGTAACGGCGGCGGCGTTAGCAGGTGGGCTTGTAATGGCGGCGGCGTATCAGGTGGGCTTGTAATGGTCGGTGGACT